TGGGTTTGGGATTTTGGAGGATTGTGCATTCGTAGGTTGTAATTTATGTGTGTTTGGATAAGGAATTGTCTTGGTTTCTTACTACATTCTGTTTTATTTCGCGTGCAGACGGGGCAAACAGTTGCAATCAAGAAGATTCGACTCGGGAAGCAGAAAGAAGGGGTGAACTTCACAGCTTTGAGAGAAATTAAATTGCTTAAGGAGCTTAAGGACCCAAATATAATCGAATTGATTGACGCATTCCCTCATAAAGGGAACTTGCACCTTGTGTTTGAGTTCATGGAGACTGATCTGGAAGCTGTTATTCGTGATAGAAACATCTTTCTCTCGCCTGCTGATATCAAGTCGTACATTCAGATGACTCTGAAGGGTCTTGCATTTTGCCATAAGAAATGGGTCTTGCATAGGTGTGAGCTTTGTTCAATTTGTGCTACTTATTTTCTTCGACTTGCTTCATTTTTTGTTTTATATTCTTGACTATTTTGAACAGGGATATGAAACCGAACAACTTGCTTATTGGACCTGGGGGTCAACTTAAACTCGCTGATTTTGGATTAGCTCGTATATTTGGGAGCCCGGATCGAAGATTCACTCACCAGGTATGCGTCTCTCTGGTTGATCCAGACCATGACATCTCAGACTTGTTGCATGCAATGAAGGTGTTGATTCGTGTGGTCTCAACGTGAAAGGATTGATTAATATGTGATCCATAGGGCATTCAGATGGAAATCTTTTTTGTGTTGAGATATTCGAAACGCTGTTATTTTGATGGGGTTGTGAGAAATCTAGAAAGAATTACCGTAATGTTTTCTGGATGTTTGCCAATGGCCACGAACACTTCTTTTATATTCGTCATTTCCTCAACTATGAGTTTCTATGTCATGCTGTCACGTATAGAAACCTGTTAATTTTACTTGTAATTTTGAGTTGTCTTTTAGGAATCTGTATTTGAAAAATATTCTTCATGTCCTATTCTAGTTCTAGCCTATAAATTGATTATCTTCTACAAATCTTTTCTGAGGGTGAATCCTATTGAATCATTCAGTATCATATTAGGTTTTTGCTCGATGGTACAGAGCGCCAGAGCTGCTGTTCGGCGCTAAGCAATATGGTCCAGGGGTAGATGTGTGGGCTGCAGCATGTATATTTGCTGAACTACTTCTACGCCGGCCTTTCCTGCAGGTGAAAGTTTATCTTATTATGACATTTTGTCCACTCAATGCTTTAATCTTCATCGATTTTTTTATGATGGTATGAAGCTAGCCTGATCGTAGTCTTTTGATATACTTGATTTGAATCCGTTACTTTTCAACTATTAAGCTCTGATCTAAAAACTAAATTCCTATAGGGAAATACTGATATGGATCAGCTGGGAAAGATATTTGGTGTTTTCGGTACCCCGAAGAGATCACAGTGGCCAGATATGGTGTATCTTCCCGATTATTTGGAATACCAATATGCACCTGCTCAACCGTTGCGCACATTATTCCCCGTGGCAAGTGATGATGCTTTGGACCTTTTAGGGAAGATGTTTATGTATGATCCGAAAGCAAGAATTTCAGCACAACAGGCTTTGGAGCATCGGTATACATTACTTTATTCTATTAAAACACTCAGTTAATGGTTGGCTTGACAAAAACACATGCATTTATTTACCTTTTGCTTTTCTGCAGCTATTTTACTTCCACGCCTCCACCCACTGAACCTGTTATGCTTCCGAGACCTCCTCCAAAGAAGGATTCCATCAATCCAAAGGTCCCAGACTTGAATCCTGTAGTGGGGCCCACAGTGTTGTCACCTCCAAGAAAGCAAAGAAGGGTGATGCCTTACCGTGAGGCGTTTGATGCGAATGCTCGGCAGGTGGAGAATATTGAAGACTATGGGAATGAGTTAAGGCAGACAGCTGAGAGGGGCGAACAAGCTCCAATGTCTCTGGAATTCTCCGCTTTAGGCGCGGGGTATCCAAATAGACCAACAATTACCAGGTTAGGCTAATTTATATAGTTTGCATGCACACTTGACGATACTATTACTATCTTGAATATCATTTTTGTCAATGTGGGAGTTTTGGCCATGTAATCATGGTTATTGAATCTTGCTTTCTTGTGGACTGTGGTAGAAACAATTATAGTTGCGTATTTTGGTATGAAAATGCAACTATCTTTTTATAAGGTGAAAAAAAAAAAAATTGAGAATCTAATAAAAGATATACAGAGAGGTGATTGCATTATCATTATCAAATCAATCCATGGGGATCATTGGAGGTTTGTCAAAACAAATTTGTGAAGAAAATTTTACCATTATGATATTATCCACAGATTTGTTATGAAGGCTCCGAATGCTAAATTGAGAAGGCAATCTAGTGTTATGATGGTTGGTTGTGTGGATAGTCGTTGGAGCCTTTTAGAACCTTTGTTTGATTGCATATGTTGATGAGTACACAACATGCTTATTGCGATTTTTATGTTTAAATATAATTAGAATTTTGTCCCTATACCAGTGCTGACAGATCACATTTAAAGAGGAAACTTGATCTCGAATTTCAACTGCCCGAAGAAGAAG